GGGGGGAGGGGGAGAGAGAGAGAGAGAGAGAGAGAGAGAGAAACATCGATCAGTTGCCTCCCATATGTGCCCTAATCAGGGATGGAAACTGCAATCAAGGTTATGTGCCCTGACGGAGAATCAAGCTGGCAACCTTTTGGTGCACAGGACAACACAACTGAACCACTCTGGCCACGTCCTCCTGAGTTATTAATTTTCCTTGAACACCGTGTTTTCCCTTTGTAGCACATGCCACAACAGTCATTAATAATGTCTGTACTGCTCTGTATCCCTATCTACACTTCTGACATCATGGAGGTTGTGTGGGCTTTGCTGAGTGACCTCCTACGTCTTGGACCTAGAATGACCTGGCACACAGAGGTGTTAAGTAAACATTTATTCAGTGAATGTTTGAGAACAAAATGCCAACCAATGGTGCCCATTCCATACACCCAGATAATAAAAGCTTAGAAATGAAGTAAAGGAACATCAGGTCATCAAGTCTGGTGTTCAGCACATCACTGTTCTCAACATGAAGCTGAGAAAAGCTTTTCCCTGGCAAGTGACAGTGCGAAAGGCAGTAACTGCTCCACAGTTTTCTGTGAGTCATTTTACAGCTTTCAAAACCTTTCCATCATCTGGTGGTCTCATGATGAACGTGGCCAAAGAAGTCATACAGCACACTGTGGTTCGAAATGAATGCTTTAAAGAATTGTGACAGGTATGTAACCCATTTATTCTGAGTTTTTAGAAATGACACAGATTATCTGGAACTTTCTTTAGTGCTCACTGCATAATACTCCCTCTGCAAACTATCTGGGACAAAGTCCTATTTTTTTTATTTTATTTTTTTATTTTCAGAGCTCTGAAATGAACACTGACTCCAAATAAAATCTTCAGGCATTGGAGAATATACAGCAGCTCTATTTTCTCAAAGGACAAAGAGAGGCAATCCGAGAGCTTCTGTTGAAAGGGGGTCCCCAGGGGTTGTGGGTAAACTGACCTACACCTCTAAGGTTCCAAAGTAAACTTCTAAAACCTCTTCAGAGGTAGATAGCCTCCAGAATTCTGTGAAGGTGAGAGTGGGAGGAAGACGTTAGTTTAAATAATAAGCTCTAAAGCTCTTTGATGGTTACATTTTTTTTTAATGTACCATGACTATATGAACATTCATACATAGAAAGACCACAGGATGGATTAGAATCTGGGCAAATGACATAATAAAGCTCTTCAAAGTCTGCACATAGCAGAAGTTAAGCAGGGACTCATACAGGTTCCTATTATCTGTATTCTTTCTGAGTAATCTGACTTAAAACAGTTTCTGTTTTAGGGATCATGAACACCTCATACTGTAACTTAACTAGCTTATATCTAATCCTATGATTACTGAATTCTAGACTAGGACAGGTCAAAGCCAATGTAAGTTTTATTTCAAAGCCTTGAAATGAAGTGAGCAAAGTACTTGTTTTGAAGAAAGACTTTGTTCCATCTTTCTAAGTAATACATTTGGAAATCTGAATTTGCAGCAGTAACATATCTTCATCCAATTTTATGAAAGTCAAAGGGTTTGATACACACACAGTACTCTAATCTGAGTCACATAATAATGTTGTGAAATAGGCAAGCCAAGGACTTTACAGATGAAGAACATAAAGTTCCAAAAGGTTTCGTTTGTTGACCCAGGGTCATAACTTAGAAAATGGAAGAAGTAATTAGGGTTGGAAGGGTTTCTGATCCTGAGATCATTGCTATTTCTAAAGAGCTATACCATTCTGGCCCCTCCCAAGCTAGTGTTCATTTTTTATCCCTCACCAAAACAAGCAACAAGATAGCATGTCCATAACTTCAAGTATATAAAGAACATAGTATATTAAAAGGGGCAAAACATTTCCCTCAAAATACAAGTCATGTCCCCATGTGGTTTCAGGTCTCGAAACCTTCTAAAATTATGGTCTACTATTCTTGGTCTTGTGTCAAGCTTACATAGAGAGCATAACTTTGCATCAGAAAATAACAAAAATATGTTTCCTCTTCTTATGAAAGACCAGGAACCTTCTTAACAGCACAAGAATCACTAAATCCAGTTGCTCCATATTCTGAGGTTAGCACCAAAAAGTGGGATAAAACGCAAAGCATAATCTTTTCTGTTTAGTAGGGTGGGGGCAATGGGATGAAAGAAATTCTGTTAACTACTGAATGAGTGAGGGCAAGGTGAGGGTGAGGGCTTCTTTGTCTTTAACTTTTGTTTTTTATGAGTGGCTCAGTTTTCTGAAGGGGCAAGAGTTCAATTCTTTATGTAAAAATACCTTAAGTATCTGTGAATCCTCGAGTTCAATAGGAATAAAAAAATCTACGTTAAATTCTTTAACTTCCCAACTCTGTTTTTTTATCTCTAATGTACACTGTGCTGTTACATTTGCACAACTTCCAAGTGAAAGACAGAAAAGCTTATCAAATAACTTCCACAGAACATAAGGGTCAAAGCAGGATTAACCTATACAATACGCTAACTCTGATCTCTGGTAGCAAACACACTTTATTCTAGAAAGTCAGCCTTGTTCTTTGAGGTCAGTGGTTTTCAACCCTGGAGACATATATTAAAATGAGCTTTTACAAATACTCTCCTCCAATCCTGCTCCAAACCAATGAAATCAAAATCGCTTTAGAGTAGAGATGGCTAGTTCTAGGGGTGGGCTAGAATCAAAAGCCTCTGGTCTGAGTGCTTCGCCCCCCAGTTTCAAATGCCCCAACAGGAGGTCATTTTCATAGTTTCCTGTGCAAGAAATAGTCACAATACCAGGACTAACAGTGCCCATGCTTAGAAACATCAGAATTTCATCAGCTGAAGGAGTTTATTACTTAGATATAAGCAGATACTCTTAAGTTAATCACAAATAATACACTTAATAAATACTAGTCAAATACCAACATCCAGAAAAGGGGAAAAATTTAAACCAGAAAATTATTTCTTTTAATTTTTTATAACTTCATATAACTATGTAATGCTCATTTATGCATGGTTAGGTATTAAACTATATTTAAAATCTTATCTTCCCCTGACTAGTAGCCAATCTTGTAAAATATTTGATTTTTGGAATTTTCCCATAGATATAAGTTAGAAAAGGCAAATAAAGAAACCAGAAGTACAAGACATCCTATTACACAGGTATATGAAATAAGTTCAAAGGGGAGTTTCCACTGCTCAGAAGACAAAAGACTTCTCAGAAACATTAGTGCAATCGGATTGCTCACTTCTTACTCAACCCGGTACTGCTGAAAAGGAGGTTGCTATGTTCCCACCTTAACTGCCTATCTGTTGTTCCTGTGACAGCTGGAGTCAACAAAGATAAGTTTGGCTTCTGGAAAAACCAAAATGCCAAGCTTCTTTATTTTAAAACCTGTTCTGAAACTCTTCCGTATTATCTGATTCTATGAATTTTGCAATAGCTACATATTAGTTAAAGCTGGAGAATGAGTAACTAAACCAGGTCTAAATTGTATGCTTAAGCAAACAGAAAAATAAAAACAAGTTTTAGGGAATTTTTAGGCCTAAGGAGGCTTAGACTGAAGTCTAATACCAAAAGATGCAGGAAAATCTAAAATAGAAGTAATGTCCTAATTAAATGTGGGTGGCCTAACTGGAAAAAATATTTAAGATTCCTACTCTATGAACTTCCTGATTAAGAAGACATGAATGGCTGCTACAGAAAAAACTAATAAGGAAATACTAGTAATAAAGGTTAGAGAAGAATTTTGATTCTGTGTTTTTATTTCTAGGTCAGAGTTGTAACCAAATGTAACGAGGTGAGTGGTATAAACTTACATGATTTATCGTCGACTGAACAGCCTTTACATAATGATTTAGTTCCCGATCCATCATAGCAAATTCAACCATCGCCTTATCCATACTGTATTCACTACTCACTTCAGCTGAAAAAAAGAAAGTGCAATTATTATTTTCCATTTAAAATGCCATATCTGAGAAAAGCTGCACCAATGTAATGTATATCAATCAATGCTCTAAATGATTTTGTGAAGGTATTACATGTTTTTTAAAACTTGCTCAACATATTGGTGCTTCATTCAAAATTCTAAGAACATACCCAGTTGAAAAAGGCTCAAAGGCAAAAAGGTGAACTCAGACTCAGGGGTTCCAGGCTCTGCCACTTACTTGGATGATCTTAAACCAATCACTACACTTTTCCCAGCCTCAGCTCCCTCATCCCCTAAAGCACCCCAGTCATCTACCTACACATTGACCTCACAGGACTGTTAAAGACCAAATAAGGAAGATTTCCACATCTAATAACAGTAGCTTGGGTTATGCAGGCCAATCCTCCTTTTGAAGACAACTAAAACGATTGGGAAAAAGAAATCTTAAAAACAAAAGAGCCACGAGATAGTAAGAAACCATCAGTGCAAAATCTGGGGGGAAATGAAAAAGACAAGCAAAGCACCAAACCAAGCCCTGTGGTCAGCTGGGTTCCCTTCCTCAGAATAAAGATGAGCCGGAAGTAATCCCACCCTGTTCCCGGCTGCAGTGGGGCTGGCCTTGTCCACTGAGCAGAACAGAGGGAAGAGGGAGAGAAAACCACCTGCTTCTGAAACACTGTGCCCACAGCCAGCCCTCCAGAACTTGCAGCCTGGGTCCCCCTCACCTGAGTGGTCCTGGGAACCTAAGAACTTCTGATCTTGGGGTGGTCCCAGAGTGAGGGTACCCACACGTACTCCCCTCTAGAGAAGTCACTCATCCTGGGCCTCAAATAATCCCAATAAATAATCATTAAGGATAATGAACAGATTACAGGGGGAGGAGGGAACCTTACCCTAAAACACACAAGCCACCAAGAGTAAGAATCAGCAGAAACAGATCCACAAATGTTTCAGATGTTGGGATTATCTATCAGAATATGAAGCAACTACGCTTACTATGCTTAAAATTTTAAAATACCCTCGGGGAACACGAGAATAAACAGTGACCAGCAGACTGGAAAAGTGTTTTAAAACAGTTTTCTTAAGCTCTAAACACAAAGGAAAAGAGAAAGAACACAGGATAATAAACATTTGGAAATGCAGTCCCTCAAAGGCCCTTCGTTCAAATGTTGGTATTTCTTGTCTACGCTGAAGAACAATATGTCATATCGTCCCAAAGCATGAAATAATAAAATCCACTTACATTTGGCTTTTAAAAATGATTTTCCTAGTCTTTACCATTAGTCTTTAATTTTACAATAGTTAATTGTAAACACATCCCGTAAAATATATCCAGAGTTAATCTGCTTCTGGGAGAATACCTCTTGGTTTATATCATTTGATAAAATGTTGACAACCTTTTGAAAGCACTTAGTAATGTGCCTTTGACATGAAAATGCTATGAAAAGTTTTGCAAAGTAAAATAAACAGGATGATGGTTCTCATTATCAAGGTCCCATGGATAATAGCAGGAGTTGAATCAGATAGCAATTTCAAATACAAAGCCAAGAGACCCTCCCTGTAAAGGAGAAAGTGAGCAATGGCTGGGTCTTTCATAGCATGAAGCCTAAGGGAGGCCAACTGGGGCTACAGGCAGCCTCAGCTAAAGTTCCAGGGCCCAGGAATGCGGGGACAAGCTGAAGAACCTCTCTGATGAATGGTGCAGCCTGAGGCAACAAAGGGAAAACACCAGAAGAGATCAGGAAGCTAGTCCTAAAAATAACTGAGAATCACACCACACCTGGAAGTGATGTCGTCAGATAACTTCAGGCTAAACCCAGTGTCTTGGTCTATTGCAGAGACCAGAGACTGAAGACAAGAACCAGCAGAGATTCCATAATGGTATCTGGGAGACAGGCCATGAGAATGTCCATATCAAGTTGCAAACCTACCTCCACTGTTTAAATATTTAAAATTATTTTGTGATTCTTTTTATTCTTCTGTTAATCCTTATTTCTCTTATTATTGCAATCATAATCCCTTTTTCTTAATATAGTGGGGCCTTGACTTACGAGTGTCCCGACTAACGAGTTTTTTGAGATATGAGCTGTCTCTCGGCCGATTTTTTGCTTTGAGTTGCGAGCTAAAATTCGGGTTAAGAGCCAGCTTCAGATACCCCACCGCTAGTTGGCACAGCGAACGTCACAGTGAATGCCACAACATCAGCCCAGCATCACGTGTCTCGTTCACTTTTTTATTTGACATATGAGTAATTTGAGTTACAAGCTCTGTCACGGAAGGAATTAAACTCATAAGTCAAGGCCCCACTGTATATATTTTTATTGATTTCTGAGAGGAAGGGAGGGAGGGAGAGAGAGAGAGGAGGAGGAGGAGGAGGGAGAGAGGGAGGGAGGGAGAGAGAGAAACACCAATGATGAGAGAGAATCATTGATCGGCTGCCTCCCATATGCCCCAGACTGGGGATCAAGCCCACAACCCAGGCCATGTGCCCATGTGCCGTGACTGGGAATCGAACTGTGATCTCCTGGTTCATAGGTCAATGCTCAACCACTGAGCCATGCTGGCCAGGCTATAATCTCTTTTTTTAAATGTTATTTGGGTTCATGTTTCAGAAACACTAGGCTAGGGAAGACAGAGAATCTGTGTCTTTTTCTACTAAAGAACTGTAGAAAAAGAAAAGCATATTGTTGCATAAAAAAAGCCAACAGGCCAAATAAATCCCAAAGAATTCATGAATTCAGAAGAGAAAAAAGGGATGAACAAATAAAAAGGGAGTTGGTTGTTGACTAAAAAAGTGGTTGGGAGTAGGGGAGTGTGGAAGGACTGACCAGCCAGAGGTTCCTGCTCCTTTATTCCACAGTATATCATCCCACTATCAAAAACCTCCCACTTATCCCACTCCTGACACCAAAACAAAAGACAAAACCCTCCCTAAAAATTTACAGGGAAAGCCCTTCCTAAAAATCCACACCAACCAAATTCTACACTGCACATCCTTCGAGGACTGAGCACAAGCCCTACTTGCTTTTAAACTATGTCAGCCTAGAAGGATAGCACTTAATTTACCATAACTATACTTGATATTTTGGGACTTTTAACCATAAATAATCTTGTCTTTTTATATGTATTCATCACATTTCTCCAAACAAATTATAATCCATTTATGGACAAGAATGATGCCTTAGTGTTTTGGGGCTCCAACAAAGAATTATAGCACCTCTTTCTTCAATATTGTTATATGGCCATTTAATTTAATAAATTTGGAAATTAAACCTTTGCCAACTATAAATTGTCCTGCCTCAGATATTCAATTCAATTAAAATATGAAGCAAACATGATATAGATTCATTTGCCTATTATATTTTCATTGTTATTTTTCTATAAGAAAGAGGCTGGCACCAATAAAGTGGGGGGAAGGGGAGAGAGCAGGAAGGAAGAGAACCACACAAATGATGTTAAAATTCACAGAACGACAGTTCCAGAGAGGGAAGTACTTCTGTACCACACTCTGCAAGCCTGGCATTAGAGAAAATTGGTGCAGATGATAAAGCATGGAAAGTAATGACAATGATGAAAAAAGTATATAATAACAGTAGCTGTAGCTAACAATTAATAAACACTTTATTATGTGCCAAGACTGTATGAGCGCACCATATTTACCTTAAGCCTCACAGCAGCATGAAGAGACGGAGAGTTTTATCTCCACTTCATACATGAGAAACTGAAGCACTGAGCCGGTGAAGTGACTTGCCCCAGGCAGAGGCCACCTCCAACTCAGGCTTCCTTTCTGTAAAGTCTGTACACCTGCCACCAACACTAAAGGTGCTTAAACACAAGGACAAGCACCCAACTCCTCCAAGAAAATCTACCAAACAAACCCTCAGGGGGAGAAAGTCAGGGCCCTAGCTTCATTTTAGCTCCCTGGTGATCCCTTCCAAGTAGGATACTAGGTACTGCCATTCAAATGGTATTAGACCTGGTCCTGGAAAAGCTTTTCCAAATTCCTTAAGGAGAGGAAACTGATAAAATAATAATTTCCCCTTTTTAGAAGATTACAGTTGACCCTTGAACTACATGGGTTTGAAATGCACATGTCCACTTGCACACAGATTTTTTTTAAATTACTGCAAATGTATTTTCTCTTCCTTATGGTTTTCTCAGTGACATTTTCTCTAGCTTACTTTATTATCTTACAGTGTATAATACATATAACATACAAAATATGTGTTAATCGACTGTTTGTTATTAGTAAGGCTTCTGATCAATGGTAGGCTAACAGTAGTTAAATTTTGAGGAGTCAAAAGTAATACATGGGTGTATGTTTTTCCCATTGATTTTTAGGGAGAGTGGAAGAGAGAGAGAAAGACAGAGAAACATCAATGTGAGAGAAACACATCGATTGGTTGCCTCCTGCACAAGCCCTGATCAGGGCCCAGGCCGGGGAGGAGCCTGCAACCAAGGTACGTGCCTTGACCAGAATAGAACCCGGGACCCCTTGGTCTGCGGGCCAATGCTCTATCCACTGAGTAAAACCAGCTAGGGCCAGTAAATACATGGATTTTAAACTGTGTGGAGGTCAACAACCCTAACATCCATGTTGGTTAAGAGTCAACTGTACTGTTTGTTTTTTTTAATTCAATTTATTTGCGTGACATTGGTTAATAAAATTATATAGGTTTCATGTGTATAATTCTATAATGCATCATCTGTATATTGTATTTTGTGTTCACCACCCCAAGTCATTTATCCCCCCCTTTGCTCTCTTCTCCCTCACCCCATCCCTCTTGCCCTCTGGTAATCACCATATATTGTCTGTGTTTATGAGTTGTTTTTTACTTACTCCCTTCACCTTTTTCACCCAGCCCCTCAACCCTCCTCCCCTCTGACAGCTGTCGGTCTGTTTTCTGTATACATGAGTCTGTTTCTATTTTGCTTGTTAGTTTATTTTGTTCAATAGATTTCACATGTAAGTGAAATCATATGGTACTTGTCTTTCT